ACTTTATGGAACTTATCTGAAGATAAGACATATGAGGAGGAGCAACATTCTTATGGCCTTTTATTTCCTTTTAAAAGCCACATTAAATAAAATGGCTGGAACTGGAATTACTTTATTGCTCTAGCAGATCTCCTCACAGATGTTTACAAAGCAGTATTAGAATGATGATGCAGAAAAATCATGATTACCTCAGGAAATGGAAAAAAAAGCTTCTGATAAATTGTAACATCCTTTTATGATTAAAAATCCTTAGTAGCGGCTGGGCGCGGTGGCTCAAGCCTGTAATCCCAGCACTTTGGGAGGCCGAGGCGGGTGGAACACGAGGTCAAGAGATCGAGACCATCCTGTTCAACATGGTGAAACCCCGTCTCTACTAAAAATACAAAAAATCAGCTGGATATGGTGGCACGTGCCTGTAATCCCAGCTACTCAGGAGGCTGAGGCAGGAGAATTGCCTGAACCCAGGAAGCGGAGGTTGTGGTGAGCCGAGATCACGCCATTGCACTCCAGCCTGTGTAACAAGAGCGAAACTCCGTCTCAAAAAAAAAAAAAAAATCCTTAGTAGGAAGAGAGAGGAACAAACATCTTTAACCTGATCATCTTTACAAAAAACCCGAAAGCAAATACTGTACTTCATGGTGACAGGATGAAAGCTTCCCTTTCAAACCAGGAATCAGAGCAGTTGCCCACTGTCACTACTTCTATTCAATACCACTTCTAAAAACACTCTTTTTTTTTTTTTTTTTTTGAGACAGAGTCCTGCTCTGTTACCCAAATTGTAGTGCAGTGGTGTGATCTCGGCTGCTGGGTTCAAGCGATTCTCCTGCCTCAGCCTCTAGAGTAGCTGGGACTACAGGCACACTACCACACCCAGCTAATTTTTGTATTTTTAGTAGAGACGGAATTCACCATATTGTCCCGGCTGGTCTTGACTCCTGATCTCAGGTGATCTGCTCGCTTCAGCCTCCCAAAGTGCTGGGATTATAGATGTGAACTACCGTGTCTGGCCCTTACAAATACATTTTTTTTTTTTTTTTTGAGACGGAGTTTCGCTCTTGTTACCCAGGCTGGAGTGCAATGGCGCGATCTCGGCTCACCGCAACCTCCGCCTCCTGGGTTCAGGCAATTCTCCTGCCTCAGCCTCCTGAGTAGCTGGGATTACAGGCACGCGCCACCATGCCCAGCTAATTTTTTGTATTTTCAGTAGAGACGGGGTTTCACTATGTTGACCAGGATGGTCTCGATCTCTTGACCTCGTGATCCACCCGCCTCGGCCTCCCAAAGTGCTGGGATTACAGGCTTGAGCCACCGCGCCCGGCTACAAATACATTTTTAAAACACAGGCAGACAACCTCACAGAAGAAAGAAAAAAGGCCTTGAATAAATACTTCACTAGAGAGGACCTCCTAATAGCCAACAGAGAATAAAAGATGCTCATCTTCATGAAAAATGCAATTAGAATGACAATGAAATACCAGTACATACCCAGTAGTTCCATCAAAATTAAGTTCTATACCCATCAGTCAGGATAGGCTTGGTTAAGCCGCAGTAACAATTTTAATATTTCCTGGCTTAAATTACTGAGTTTATTTCTCTCAAACTATACACACATACACTGTGGGTCCACTTGGGGTCACTGCTCTACCTCATCCTCCGTTTGGGACCCAGGCCCCAGCAGGTTGTGTATCCGTGCTTCCACAAATGCCAAGGGAGAAAAAAATATATATATATCTGTGCACTGGTACCTAAGTTTTGACTAGAAGTGACACACGGCACTTCCACTCACATTTCATTGGCTAAAGCAAGTCACACGGCTACACCTAACTTGAAGAAGGCATAGAAGTATAATTTTACCATGTGTCCTGAAGGGGAAAGAACTGTAAATATTCAGTTAACAGTTCTAATGACTGCCACACTGAGAATATAAACTTTTGGTGAGCATGTGGAGCAATGGGAACACTCACCCCCCCACTGGTGGAAGTATAAATCGATAATCACTCTGGAAAGTCTGGCATTATCTAATAAAGTGGCAGATACAATGGCCTACAGTCCGAGGCCTTGAGCCTCAGACCTCTTTTGCCAGTGCTGCAGACCTGCTGGTGCCTTTGTGTTTCCCATTTCTTCCTTCTAGAAGCCTCATCTATGACCCAGCAATTGCACTGTTAAAAGAAATAGATGTTTCAAGAAAATGTACAAAAATGTACAATATCATCTATTTTCAAGAATATTCATGACAACATATTTCATAAAAGCTCCAAACTCAAAACAATCTAGTTCCATCAGTCATAGAATGGATAAATTCATACAATACAATCCTATGCAGCAATGAAACTACCTAAGCACACATTTAACAAAATAGGTGATTCTTACAAATAACGGAGTAAAGAAGATAAAACACACACACACAAAATGTTTATTTTAAAAGTCACCTTGGAGGCTGGGCGCGGTGGCTCACGCCTGTAATCCCAGCACTTTGGGAGACCCAGGTGAGTGAATCACCTGAGGTCAGGAATTTGAAACCAGCCTGGCCAGCATGGTGAAAACCCATCTCTATTAAAAATATAAAAATCAGCCGGGCACAGTGGCAGGTGCCTATAGTCCTGGCTACTCAGGAAGCTGAGACAGGAGGATCACCTGAACCAGGGAGGTGGAAGTTGCAGTGAACTGAGATCACGCCACTGCACTCCAGCCTGGGTGACAAGAGCAAAACTCCATTTAAAAAAAAAGTCGCTGTGGAGGCATACTCTGGGTACCTAGAAAATAAACTAGCTTAGACTAGGGGGTGGGAGGCTACCCCTTTTCCCAGTAAGACAGGCTGCACCCAAGCACAACTTCCCAAAGGACCTGCAGCTGTCTTTTCCAGGTGTGTATTATCCCACAGGTCCCCAAGTTTGCAGGTGTTGGGCAGCTGGCATTCCCAGACAACCTCTTTTCTTTTTTTCTTTTTTTTTTTTGAGACGAAGTTTCGCTCTTGTTGCCCAGGCAGTGGCACGATCTCGGCTTACCACAACCTCTGCTTCCCAAGATTTAAGCTATTCCTCTGCCTCAGCCTCCCAAGTAGTTGGGATTACAGGCAGGCACCACCACACCCAGCTAATTTTGTGCTTTTAATAGAGAAGGGGTTTCGTTATGTTAGCCAGGCTGGTCTTGAACTCCTGACTTCGTGATCCATCCCCCTCAGCTTCCCAAAGTGCTTGGATTGCAGGTGTAAGCCATGAACCAGGTCCCCAGACAACTTCTATAAGCAGCTGGCACACAAACACAGATTTCCTGGTGTCTAAGCATTTTGCATCTCTCTCCACTAGTAAGGCTACTCTCTTAGGTATCTGATAAAAAAGAGAGCACGGGGGGAGCAGGGTGATGAGGAGTCATTCCAGCAGAGATGCCCCAATACACCTCTCCATAGGGACAATGTGGGGGTACAGGATCTGTGCCTTCTCTTTTGCTTTGAAAACTCCCCCTTTCCTAGTAAAATCTATCCCTAAACCTACACCTGAGATGTTAAAGAAATTTATTTGCCGTCTGGTGAGCAACAGGTGGCATCTTCAAAGAATCCACTTTGCATACCAAGTGGTAACTTCCAAAGTAACACCTTGTACTTAACAATGTTTTCTTTCTCTCTTTTTTTTTTTTTGATGTGGAGTCTCACTCTGTCGCCCAAGATGGAGTGCAGTGGCGCAATCTCAGCTCACTGCAACCTCCGCCTCCTGGGCTCAAGCAATTCTCCTGCCTCAGCCTCACAAGTAGCTAGGATTACAGGCACCCACCACCACACCCAGCTAATTTTTGCACTTTTAGTAGAGACAGGATTTAACCATGTTGGCCAGGCTGGTCTTAAAGTGTTCTGTCTGCCTCGGCCTCCCAAAGTGCTGGGATTACAGGCATGAGCCACCACATCCGGCCTGTATTTAACAATATTATTTTAAAATAATAATAAAGCCTACAGAAGACACCCCTCCATTCCCCCTATATTTTGAGAGACAAAACTTGACTCCACTAGAATGGCATCCAAACTCAAGAATGCATTCACTACATTAGCCTGGAAAGTGGGGATCTGCCAACCTCAGAGAGTCAACTAAGACTGAAGACCCTACTGAAGAACAACAAGCAAGTCCTTTAGACAGCAATACTAGTGATGAGAGATCTAAAAGCTCCTACTTCATCATGATGAAATGGCTAATAAAGGATAATGGCTTAGCAATGAGTAGCAGTCTCCTAAAAATCATCACTCTCCAAGGGTCAGGGATCATAACGACAACCATCAGCTGAAGAAAAATCAGGACCAAGCACACCAAAGATGCACCAGTAAACTGCAGAGGGGACAGCCTGTGAGAAGCTGAATAAAATTAACATGGCAATTCTTATCCCCTTGCTGGCTACCTCCCAAGTTTAATGTGGCACATGAGGACACAGGCCATGTCACGGTTATACTGGCAAAACAAATCTGAGAACACGTACTTGGGGCCATTTTGATTCTGCCTCTGATAGTCTGCCTTCCTATAGAACATCACCTGACCTTGAATTATTACAGATCTCTTAGTCACTATATTACTCTTTAGGAACGATATAAATTTTACTATCTAAGTCAAAGCCCCTGTGTCATGATTATTCCAAAGTTTCATGGTCACTGGCCTATGACAAGGAAACTAATTTTAGAATCAACATAAAACTGTTCATTTCACCTTTGGCCAGGTAGCCAGTGACACCATTCTCCTATATCAAGAAGTCTGTCTATAAACAGATGAACCATGATATAGGCTTAGTAATAATCTTATGCATGTTAAAACTGTTAACAGATCTTAGCAATAATAATTTAAAAAAAAAAAAACCCAAACTATTAAACGTATTAAATAAAACAGGATTTAGGACTATCTCAGGTAAAAAAAAAAAAAAAAAAAAAAAAAAAGAAAGAATATGGAGGTGTAGAGGTGGCTAGAGATGCCCAAGGCTCTTGGTTTTCTAGTAACCCTAGTTTGGAAGAGAATTGCAAGAGAATGTACCTTATCCATATGGAAGATCAAATCCAATTCACACACATTTTCAAAACACTTATCCAGAGTCTCCACAAAAACCTAGAAAACAAGAAGAAACAGATAAAGAAGAGAAACAGGAATATATTCACAGCTTTATCAATGTCACATCTGAAAGTAAAAGGGGCAGTCACAATACTATTTATGATGATTAAAAAAAAAAAAAAAGCCTACCTTTTGCTTCTAGCAGTAGTTGATCACCCTACTTCTCCCAATTCAGAGGAAATCATCTGGGATAGGAAAATCTTGTTTTCGGCAATACAACCAGCAGATACCTGGGGCTCTCTACCCCTTTATAAGACACTAATTTATGGTGAGGCATAATGGCTCATGCTTACAATCTCAGCATTTTGGGAGGCCAGGGCAGGCAGATCACTTGAGGTCAAGAGTTTGAGACCAGCCTGGCTAACAAGGCAAAACCCCATCTCTACTAAAAACACAAAAATTAGCTGGGTGTGGTGACATGAGCCTGTAGTCCCAGCTACTTGGGAGACTGAGGCATGAGAATAGCTTGAATGAGAATCACCTGAGGTGGAGGCTGCAGTAAGCTGAGATCACACCACTGCACTCCAGCCTGGGTGACAGAGTGAGAATCTCTGGGAAAAAAAAAAAAAAACTACATAGAAGAAATTAAAATACCAACTACGTACAATTCTATATCCTCAATACATATACAAAAATGTTTTCATTATTACAGGGTTAACATAGTTGTGTTTCAATTTCAGTTAACATTAACTTCAAAACACCTTCCTTTTTAATTTTTTTTTGGTCAGAGTTATTTAGCCTACAAAATAGCTTCCTATGAACACAAGATGGGTGCTCAGAGGCAAACCACCCATTCCAATGTAGCACAAGTGGGTGCTTGTAGGTAAACCACCCCGTTCCAATGCAGCACAAGATGGGTGCTCAGAGGCAAACCACCCCATTCCACTGTAGCACAAGGTGGGTGCTCAGAGGCAAACCACCCCATTCTATTGTAGCACAAGATGGGTGCTCAGAGGCAAACCACCCCATTCCACTGTAGCACAAGATGGGTGCTCAGAGGCAAACCACTCCATTCCACTGTAGCACAAGCTGGGTGCTCAGAGGCAAACCACCCCATTCCACTGTAGCACAAGCTGGGTGCTCAGAGGCAAACTACTCCATTCCACTGTAGCACAAGGTGGGTGCTCGGAGGCAAACCACCTGTAGCAGCCAGCTGCTGGGGAGATAGACCCATGTGCCATGAGGAAACAATGCATGCTATTGGAGCTGGTCCTGCTCTGTCTCCTCTATGTAAGTAAAGCTTTATCCAGTGCTTGCACTGTTTCCCTTGATGACTCTGATACCAAGACACAATGGGCAAAAGCATTTAGATTCCTTCCCTGCAGCTGGTAACCAGTGCACTGTGTTGTGCCAGATACCAACGACTGTGGAAAACTATTAGACATTATGTATTAATGTGCTATGACCTAGTAATTCTGCTCTCAGATAACATCTAGCGGATATGTACATGTATGCCAAAAACCACATACAATAATTTCATATCAGTGCTATTCATAAATCTTTACATTTTTAACAGTGCCAGAGTATTTCACTATAAGGACAACGTAGCTAAATGGGTCTATTTCTCAATCACTGTGCTGGGTACTTGGTAAGCCCTTATAATCCTGCAGTTCAAGTCCTTCAGTTCTGGGAAATTCTGTCAAATTATTTTGTTGAGAATTCCTTCCTTTCCACATTCCTTATCAATTTTTCTGGAGCTGCTTATTTTCAAGCACACTGGACCTCTGTCTTTTTTGAGATGCAGTCTCGCTCTGTAGCCCAGGCTGGAATGCAGTAGAGCAATCTCAGCTCACTGCAGCCTCTGTCTCCTGGGTTCAAGCAATTCTCTTGCCTCAGCCTCCCAAGTAGCTGGGATTATAGGTGTGTGCCACCACGCCTGGCTATTTTTTGTGTTTTTAGTAGAGACGGGGTTTCACCATGTTCGAAGCCAGGCTGGTCTCGAACTCCTGACCTCAAATGATCCCCCTGCCTTGGCCTCCCAAAGTGCTGGGATTACAGATGTGAGCCACTGCAGCCGGCCTCTGTCTTACTTTCTTTCCCATTTTCCATCTCTGCACATTCTAAGACAGTTGCTTAACTTTCTAATACTTGAATTAAAGTGGGTTTTTTGTTTTTCCATTTCCTGTCAGGTTTTTTATTTCTAAGAGACCACTTTGTTCTGTGAGTGTTTTTTTTTTTGAGACGGAGTTTCGCTCTTGTTACCCAGGCTGGAGTGCAATGGCGCAATCTCGGCTCACCACAACCTCCGCCTCCTGGGTTCAGGCGATTCTCTTGCCTCAGCCTCCTGAGTAGCTGGGATTACAGGCACGTGCCACCATGCCCAGCTAATTTTTTTGTATTTTTAGTAGAGACGGGGTTTCACCATGTTGACCAGGATGGTCTCCACCTCTTGACCTCGTGATCCACCCGCCTCAGCCTCCCAAAGTGCTGGGATTATAGGCTTGGGCCACCATGCCCAGCCGTCTGTCTTCTTTTATTTCTCTGTTGCTTTTTTTTTTTTTTTTTTTTTTGAGACAGGGTTTCACTCTGTCACCTGGACTGGAGTACAGTGGTGTGATCTCGGCTCACTGTAGCCTCTGCCTCCCAGGTTCAGGTGATTTTCCTGCCTCAGCCTCCCAAGTAGCTGGGACCATGCCTGTCTAATTTTTGCATTTTTAGTAGAGATGGGGTTTCATCATGTTAGCCAGACTTTCTCTGTAGCTTAAGAATAGGGTTTTGGGTTTGTCTGGTTTCTTTTTTTAACTTTTTCCTTTTCTTTATATGGTATCCATTTCTAAGTTATTTTTTATTGTTTGTTCATTTTGTCTCCTATGTTAGAGGTTTTCCTTAGATGTCTGATAATCCTTGGTTTTTCATTCACAAGAATAAAAGGCTGACTGGAAGCTCTACAATCATGGATATTTGTTGCCCACCCCTACGGCTGTTTGCTTTCCCAGTGAAATCTTGTAATATACTGCCTGGAGAATAAAATACTGGTTGCCAAAAATGTCGTTGCTGACTGGGCTGGCAAGTTAGTGTTCCATAATCAGAAAACACATGACCATTTAATCCCCAACTTGTCCCATCAAGTACACCTTGTGTCCCCTAAGCCAGAGACACTTTCTTTCATCTTCTGCAGGGAATAAACTTGTACTCTTGTGCTGGGGTAAGGGCAACTGACCAGAGACCCGGAACTGGGAAAAGGACTTAGGGAACCAACTGGCTTTCAGACGGCTGTCCTGGTCTGCTCCAGAACCACACCCCGGTGAAACTGTGCGCTGCCAGCTTTCCCTACTGTTGGCTGGGATGTGGCTTGACGAATCAATGGTCAGGCATTCAGATTCTTGTCTGCTTTCAAAAGTTTCATTGCTGTTGTCTCCTTTCCTGTACTCTCTATCCTTGTATGTGTACATGTTTTTAAAATTCACTTTCTATAGTTTTAAGGGAAGAAAATGAATTTAGAAGTCCCTAATAGAATTTTAGAAAATGAAACTTGACAAAATCTAAAGTTCTTACAGAAAATTAAATGTGAAAGACAACTCTGCAAAGAAAATTTGGAAAAACAGTGATAATAAGGAATGACTTGTTTTTCTAGATATCAGAATTCACTGTAAAGCTTTGTTAACTAAAATAGTATAATACTAAGGCTGGGCACAGTGGCTCATGCCTATAATCCTAACACTTTGGGAGACCGAGACAGGAGGATCCCTTGAGCCCAGGAGTTTGAGACCAGCCAAGGCAACAGAGCAAAACATCATCTCTACAAAAAAATAAAAATAAAAAAATTAGCCAGGCACAGTGGCATACACCTGTAGTCCCAGCTACTTGGAAGGCTGAGGTGGGAGGTTGAGCCCAGGAATTCAAGGCTGGAGTGAATTATCACTGCACCACTGCATTCCAGCCTGAGTGACAGAGCAAGACCCTGTCTCTAAATAAATTTTAAAAATAAAATAAAATTCTAAAATGGGAATATAGATCAGTGGAACAGAATATAAATTACTGAAACATACACGTTTATAAAATGCAATTTTTAAAATAAAGGTTGTATTTTAAGTTGGGAAAAGACAAGCTAACTGATAACACTGAAACAGTTATCCTTTGGGAGAAAAATAAAGTTACCTATTTCAATGTAGACATAAAAGCACATAATAGATATTAATGAGCTAAATGTAAAAAATAAATTTAAAAAGCAATGGCAGATCCCCTGGGTGCCATCCAGGACCCTGGAAGGAGCTAGTCAGTGTGTGGTGAAGCTCTGAGGTGACTGGTACTGTTAAAAGCAGGAAATGGAGGTGCCACCTTAGTGGCCTGAGCTCTGAACTGTGGCAGCCAGAGGACATTTGAGTAGAGCCAGACCGTATTTGGCAACAGCACTGTGCCAAAAGGCTGTTTTCATTCAAAATGTTTAATGAAATGAAGACTGGGTTCTCAAGACAGGCTAGTTATCCAGGACAAGATAGACTAGCACCAGAAAGACATCCCCAGATAGTGGTGGCTTGGGGTGGGTGGGGGAGGGGAGGAGCTGTCAGATGTATCTGTTTTTCTTAGAGACTCAAAATATCATTATTCAAGATCACAATCAAGGTCAAGAGAAAGAAAATGGGAAAGAAAATGAAGGACTAAAATACAACAAGCATGCTGATGGGCAAAGAGGCTGAATTGAAGATATTGCGGATGCAGGCAGGAAAACAATAAGCCTATTTCATAATGAGGCAAGGAGTCAGGGATCCTACAACAAATCCTTTAAGAAATATACTTCTGAGGAGCATAATGACAAAGAACATTCTTCTGATAAAGGAAGAGAAGGGTTAAATTCATCTGAAAATGGGCTGGGCATGGTGGCTCACATCTGTAATCCCAGTACTTTGGGAGGCCAAGGTGGGCAAATTGCTTGGGCTCACAAGTTTGAGACCAGCTTGGGCAATATGGCAAAACCATGTCTCTACAAAAAATGCAAAAACTAGCCAGGAGTGGTGGTGTGTGCCTGTGGTCCCAGCTACTCAGGAGGCTGTAGTGGG